CCATACGCAGTTCATATTTTAACATTGTGAGTCGATTTCATTATCAGATCCCACAAGAATTCAGAAAAAGATTTTCAAATAAAAAGAAAACATCTGAATTTAATATATCAAGTTGGTTCACAAGAACATAAATTGTTATTGTCTCCTTTGTGATTTGATTTTTTCGAATACTTCTATTATCCATATTATAAACGTACCTCCTAATTATAATATATCTATGGAATGTCCTAGAAAGAAACGTAAAATAACTGGTTCTAGATGAGTCAGCATATCATTCAAGGATGGTGAACTAGATATCGTCTTCTATTATATAGAGCGGTAGTGCATGACAACATTACTAGCGACATGTATGTTTGAATACAAAGCATACGAAAAACCTCCTTTAGCGTACTTAACAGCTTGTTTCTCTAACTGTTACTTAAGAACTTCGACAGGATCAGAAGAATATGACTCGAGAAAAAGAGACGTCCTACACTCCATGCATGAGGAAACACATTTTCACTTCAAGTCAACAGAACTACGATATTTTCAAAAACTAATTGAGGAAATTAGAAAATAAGTCATCAAAAAAGATGGAAAGTTATCATCGATATATTGCGTTGTTTTAATTTTTGCGCTTCACCGCTATATATCAATTAATCGAGGCGAAAATCGTGCTATTTATTTTTTTTCGATTTTCGAGTCAACCAACTTATGTAATACATGTAGCTACGCACTTCAAAGAGGGCAAATAAACTGTTTATAGTACTCTTTTCTTGTATATTTTCATGTTGGTCGAAACTTATATCTATACTGCATACATGCGATATCTAGATCTAGTCCATGCTAGAAATTCACCTCTCTAATTATTATTGTTACAGAGATGACAGCATTGCCAAAATTATAAAAAAAACTTTAAACTATACTAAAATAATTATGCATGAAAAAATGTGTAGTCATTCGATCATACATTCACTATAAGTAACTATGGTTTCTTATAATTCTTGCCTTCTGTTTATTTGTTACGATCGTTATGTATAGGAGAAAAATATACCGTCCCTTTTTCTTCGATAATCATAATGTGCAGAAAGAATGAAACATACCAATGAATCTAATATTGACTGAGTGAATCGGCAGATAATTACCATTTTTCTCAATTACAGTACAGTTTTCTTTCAAATTTTTCCTTATTGATTAAAAGAAGTTCGATTATGAAATCTTCTTGTGATTAATATTTTCTATATAATAGTTTAATCAAGTACCAAAAATATTCAAATAATTTCGAAAATATTTCGAGCTTTTTTAATTTTAATAATACATGTGTCTCTGTAACAATAATAAGTCGAAAGCTGCATTTATAGCATAGAGTAGATCTATACGTCTAATGTTTGCACTATAAATAGGTGAAACTAGTACTAGAACATATTTCTGGACAAATCAGCCCGAAAAAATAGTTAATGATGGATTTAATACAAGCTACGTCGTTCGTTATTTCAAATAAAACAACATAAAATTCGAATTGAATATGCAATGTAGAACAAAATTTATTTTTCTACTCTGCTATGCGTTCGCTTTCTATTTTAAATCTCTCGTCTTCTCCTCTCATGCTCTTTACTGTATTAAGTTTCTTGTTTTTTTACTCTTTGTTTCCCTTTTTATTTTTGGTTGCATATATGTATGGTTTGGTAATTTAGTCTCTACACTTTTACACTTTTTTTCTTGATAATGGCTACATGAATGACTAAAACACCGAAATAAAAGGTGCTCGTTAAAGTCACTATTATTATGTAATTCATACTGAGATCACTCGTTTTTGTTTCTGGCCTGTCTGTATTAACTTTTGATCAGCTACTTATGAATCAATAGAATACTTCTTCTTTTAGCAATTTTAACGTGAGACTTAGTGAAGCAAACATTTTGAGGTGAATTATAATGTGTCGTGGAGCAAACAATTAATTCGTTCGGGTACGCAGTGCTCCGACATGTATGTTACGCTTGTTTTTTTTCTTTTTCTATCATGAGTATTGCAAAGCACTGTAGTAGTGATTGTATGCTTCTTTTTTGTACTATAAAAAAAGGTGTATGTGCATGTTTTTTTTTCATTTTTCGTTACGCATAATTGCAAGAAGGTAAAAACAAAATTTACATGTTAAATAGTAATGTTTTTTCTGCAGTACTCAGATGATAGGCTTTTAAAATTTCAGATCATACGAGAGCAGAAACCCCAGTATAAAGAACATGTAATAGAAGTATTCCATGTAGATTCATAGAAAACAAAAGCAGCGAAATACCCTAGTTAAAAAAAATTGATTTAATATACGATTCTTTATTGATGGTCACATACTACTGTATGAAAAGTCAATGAATATGAATCGAATGGTGTAAAATATCTCGCTGTAAATAGCTGTCGATGGTGAACACCTTCATAAAGTGAATAGTCTGAATTGAAACTTAGCTATTTATACTGTAAATGGACTTGTTCATACTAAACATTACAGTATTCTGAAATGTGAAGTATTTTTTATATTTCTGTGACCTAGAATGGCCTCTCTGATGCCAGTATTTTTTTTTTCATTCTTCTTGAAGTCGAGCGAGCCGTCGTGTATGCTTGAGAAACAAAGAAAATGGAGAGTAACTACAGAATGAGTGCTTTTTTTTTTACCTGGAGCGCACTTAAAACATTAGTTTGCTTTTTTCAATTTATATTCCCCCCACAATAGGCATAAACTTATGTTTCACCATCTGAAATGACTACTCAAAACGATTTGGCTCTAGAAAAGGTGATACAACTAATTGTAGCGTCTAGTACACATTTTTTCTTGAAAAATTTCTATTTCAATTCAAGTAAAAAATAAGACAACTGATAAAAATTTTTTTTGTTCATTTATCAATCAAGTTCAAGTTGACATCAGTTGAATTCAATTCGTTGTATTACTCATGTCGAAGAAATCATCAAGCGTTCGATTTATGTTTCAGATTTAAATTCATTTTTTAAGAAATATGGCTGCCATATTTAAAAAGTATTTTGATCCAGTAAAAACTAAAGTGAAATCGTCCTATATAAACAGTCCAGTTGGTCTGATGTTTGATCTAATTGAAGCAAAGACCGGTGTTGAATCTGCAGTCGTTGCTATTGGTATGTTTTAAATCATGCTTTTCTCATTTGTCTCATGTATTTATATCGTTACATAGGTCTAGTTGGTATTCTTGCCATCTATCTGGTGTTTGGCTGGTGCAACGATTACTTATGTAATTTGATCGGATTAGCCTATGGAACATATACCTCGTGAGTAGAATTCCCTTCAAAAATTTTTTGTTTTCAGCTAGAGTATTGTCGTAAGGTGAGATGCAATACTTATTCAGATTAATTTCTTCATGTAAACGTTAGACACAGAATAGAGGCATTCGAAGATAGTTAGAACATTTTTTTTCGACTGTACAAGGCGTGTTTTACATCAAAACCATGGTCGATTACAATTTAGAAAAAAAGAACAAATAAATGCATATAAATGCATTTGTATATGGAATTGTATTGACGAGGGAACATATCTAGGTGCCAAATCGCTTTTGGATCGAGTATATAGTCAAACGATAGACCTTATTGAGCTATTAAACGCCCTACAAGGATTTGGTTCTCCAGACTTCCTGAGCAGAGGTATACGATTATTACTACTAGTTTTGCTCTACTACTATGCTAATATATTTCCTATCTTGACTAAAATTGCTTCGATCCGACTCAAATTTATATCAGTACTAAAACACTCAGTAGTGATTAAGATCTCAGAGTTTGAAAATAAATAAAATTTTTTTATCGAAGATATGAATTTGTTTGGTATACCGATTGATTATTAAGAGAACAACATATGTTCTTGCTGTGCACTAACAATTCAAGGACTTCGTAGAAATGAGATGCAATATGTCCTTTGTTGTTGGCAACAGAAAAGTTGTTGAGAACTGTCACTCTACCTTTTACTTTATACATCATTCTCTTTTCAACTATACTAATACACAATAACCTCTCTTTCAGGATTTCGACCATCAATGATTCTATGCAAATGACTTCTTCAAAGAAAAAGAAAAGACTTTATTTCAATCAGTAAAATATACATGCAGGACATCGACATCTTTACGAAAATTAAGTTTAGTATATCAGTGTCATATGTTCGATAGTGAAAAGTACGGGAATTTATTCTTCTGATTCTTATTAATTGAATGCACCGACAAACGAGCTGACATTTCTACATGCATGCTCACTATGACAGGAATATGTATTGCAAACATCAGATGAATCAATACTTCCATTAGTGAGCAAAGGCATATGTTGTTTTCTTAATAATCAAGAGGTATACCAAACAAATTCATATCTTTGATAAGAAACATTGATTTATTTTCAAACTCTAAGATCTTAATCACTGCTGAATGCTTTAGTACTGATATAAATTGGAGTCGGATCGAAGTAATTTTAGTCAAGATATGGAATATATTAGCACAATAGTCTGCTCAGGAAGACTGGAAAACCAAGTCCTTGTAGGACGTTTAATAGCTTATTAAGGTCTATCGTTTGAGTATATACTCGATCCAAAAGCTATTTGACACCTGGATATGTTCCTTCGCAAGACGCACTTTGAAATGAAATCGCATCCAGTTACGTTTCAAGTTATAAACACGTTCAAGCACGTTTCTGAAATATATTCTGTCCAGATATAAAAAGTATTCCAGTTGAGCTGATTCTAAATTAGTTCGTCCTTTGCGTTTCAGATGAGGGTCGAATACAATTCAGAAACATTTCAATCCAAAGAATGATGCTATATTCTTCGCAAACTAATCGATACAATTACTTCGATTTCTTCCGAACTGTACAGTCATATTTTAATATGTTTT